AGAAGGAGCTGGTTTGGGAGAGATGAGCATATGCCCAGAATGGGACATGGGCTGAGAGGATCACGACCTACAGAGGTCTCCCACAGGTGATGTGATGAGTAAGGCTAAGCTCCAGATTAAAATCTGGTAGCAGTAAAAACCTAGGGCTCATAATAGAGTGGAAAGTTGCTGGGGCAGTCACTGCACATCAGAACTTTAGGGAGAATAGATGTGGTTAAGACCAGAACAGACCTTAAGAAATGTAGGAGTTCTTTAACTGTGGCTTTTTCACTGGGATTGCTTCCCTTACCTTCTGGTACTCCAATGATTCTAATGTTGTTCCTCTTGAAATCATCCCCCAGAACTCTCTACAACAATGGAATACTATGTAGCTGTTAGGAAAGATGAAGTCATGAAATTTACGTACAAGTGGTTCTACATGGAAAGTATCATGCTTAGTGAAATGAGCCAGAAAGAGAGGGACAGAGATAGAAAGACTGCACTCAGCTGGGGAATATAAAGTAACAGAATGGGAGACGAACACCCAAGAATAGTTGAGATAAGTACCAGGAGTTCTGCTCCATGGCTTGGAAGCTGGCAGCACATGCTGGGGGAAAAGGAAGCTCAGATAGAGAATGGAACACCAAGTAAAGGATGTTTGGAGGACTAGCTCTGGATTCGAGACGCACCTGAAAGTAGACTATAGACTGAACACGATGGCCACTCAATACCTCTAGTGCAAACCACAACAGCCTAAAGGAAAGAGAGAGCAAAAGGTAATTCCCTGCCACAAAGGCATGGTGGGGTGGGGAGGGGGGAGTTGGTGAGGGGAGGGCTACTGGGATTATTGGTGATGGAGAATGGGCACTGGTGGAAGGTTGGGTACTCGATCATTGTATAACTGAAACCCAAGCATGAAAGTTTGTAAGTCTACAACTGTACCTCATGGTGTTTCACTAATTTTAAAAAAAAGGAGAGGGACAGATATAGAAAAAAAAGAAATGTGGGAGTAAGAGCAGGCAGCTAGCTCTGGAGAGCAGGAGGAAGAAAGAGCTTTATGAAATCTATGATCTGTGAGGCCGGAGAAATAGCTCAATGGGCTAATGTATGCACTGCATGTGGAAGGCCTGAGTTTGATCCCTGATACTGGCTGGTCTCCTGAGGACCACGCAGAGTGACCCCTGAGCACTGCTGGGTATAGCCCCCAAATAAACAAATATGATTTTTAATTCCATCCAGGGGTATTGAAGGCTAAAATCTGGTCCTGGAACCAGCAATGACCCAGTGGCTACAAGTGTCTGGTCTTTCAAATATGAGGCCATAAATTTGGTTCCCAGTGCCATCCCCATGCCCTGAATGTAGGCCCAGTGACTCTTCTGTCTGGGGCTCCTGACCCTGCAGCAGTGTGTAATTCCCACACAGAGTTAGAAGTGAGAATGAAACTCAAGTACATGACACACTGGGCTGGAGAGACAGTACAGTGGGGCGGAAGGTGCTTGCCTTGCATGCAGGTGACTCAGGTTCAACCCCCAGCATCCCATAGGATCCCCTAAACCTTGCCAGGAGTGATCTCTGAGTGCAGAGGCAAAGGGAAGCCCTGAGTACAGCCAGTAGAAGCTAAAAATAACAACAACGATCAAGTTGTTGCCACCCAGAAAGCTGCACAGCTGAAAAAACTACGCAAGCACTGAGACAGGAAGCACAACTCCATAGGAACAGCAGTAGTCCTGGGGGACACTGTGACCCCAGGACTGGGGCACCCCACAAGTAAACGAGAGCACCCCGGGTGTGCATTCCCATGTGCAAGAACTACCTTTTTGGGGCTGGGAGGACAGTTTCCCAGTGGACTTGACACAGCAATTTCAGGAAGAGAACAAAAGTCCCCAGTGCTAGGGAATTGGAAGAACTCAAGGGTGAGGAAGGAGAGACTGTGAGGAAGAGGAGGCCCCATGCCTACATGGGAGGGAGGGCTGGTTGCCAGGGAAACAGTAGGTGCCTCCCTAGTTTCAGCCATTTATGACTACTCAATACCTCTATTGCAGACCACAACACCCTAAAGGAAGGTAAAAAAGGTAAAGGCCCTCCCATTGATCGTCGATTTGCTCGAGCGGGCCCAGTAACGTCTCCATTGGAGACTTTGTTGTTACTGTGTCTGGCATATCGAATACTCTCGGTAGCTTGCCGGGCTCTCCGAGAGGGGTGGAGGAATCGAACTCGGGTCGGCCATGTTGGCCGCTTGTAAGGCGAACGCCCTACCCGCTGTGCTATCGCTCCAGCTCTCTAAAGGAAATAGAGAGCAAAAGGGAATGCCCTGCCACAGAGGTGGGGGGGATGAGGGGATGGGGGTTGGGAGGGCTACTGGGATCGTTGGTAGTGGAGAATGGGCACTGGTGGAGGGATGGGTACTTGATCATTATATAACTAAAACCCAAGCACGAAAGTTTGTAAGTCTACAACTATACCTCATGGTGTTTCACTAATTAAAAAATAAAAAAATAAAATAAAATAAAAACACAAACCAGTAATATATATATATATATATATATATATATATATATATATATAGTTTCATCCATTTACATCAGAGCCACTGTAGGGCCCAGAGACCCGGCTTGAGGCCTCCTGCGAGGCTCAGTGCAGCGCTCCCTGCTCCATTGGCACTGCAGGTATCCTCAGGGAGAGGCCGGCCCCTTCCTTGAGCATCCCCTGCTCCTGTGCCGCCCCAGCCAGCACATGGGCACTGTGCTCTTTCATCTCTGTGTGGTTACTCCTTGTGGTTCACTCTCCATGCCAGACGGGGGGCTCCCACGAGACACAAATAATGCAGGGTTCTACGCTGTCCTTAGAGAAGTGTCATGAAGGCACAAACACGGGACTGAGGGAATGAGTAAAGGTGTTTGTGAGGTGAAGATCCCCTACTTTAAAGAGGGTCAAAACCACCCTCCCCCTCTCCCAGTGGGCACGAGCTTGTGGAGAGGCCTGCCCCGGCTTCTCCCCAGAAACACCCCACATTTCTGAAGCCTTCCCATGTCAGAGCTATTTGACTCAGTTTAAATATTTACAGGACTGCATGCGTTAATTCAAGGAAGTGCTGAGGACAGGCACGGCGGTGATGAATAAATCATCACAATGATCATTTCCCTTTCAAGATACTCAATCGGCCTCATTAGTAGTATCTACGTGGCCTAAGCAGCATCTTTGGGCAGTGCCTCCCCACTGAGCGGAGAAGAGCAGGAGCCAGGGCAGGGCAGGCGGGCACCTCCAGGGTGCCGCATCAGCTAACAGACCAACCCCAGCTTCCTGCTCGAGGGTGTGCCAGCCCCTGCCTACTGCCTCTTTGCTTCATCCCTCAGGAAGACTTGTCCCTGGGCTCGGGAAAGAAAGCATTTCTGATTCTTTGTCCTGTCATGTTGGGGAAACTGCTAACTATTCTTGTATGTTTTTATGGATTGCGTAAGTGTGCCGGCACTGGCTCTCTGCGAATCTCAGCATCCAGGGTTCCTATCTGAGAGCCCCCTCTTTCTGGGCAGACAGCACCTCAAGTAGACCTTAGATATGGCCCAGAGCAGGGCCCAGATTGCCTGGTTCCTCCTCCTCTGTGTCGTGGGGCTGACAAGTCACCGTGCTTTGCTAAGCTTCTGCCAGTACTGAACCCGCATAGGCAGGGCAGGTGCATTTCCGGTCCTCACAGGGCCATGACCTTATCAAATGCAGAGGGTGTCAGAATATTTCATGAAAGAAGGCAAGAGACAGAAACTCTGATGCTAGCACAGTGCATGAGGTAGTTTCCAGAGTGCTCCCATTCCCATCCATCTCCAGATTCCCTGAAAGGGATCAGTGGATGTTGAATCTGGCCCTGCTCAGCGGCCAGACAGCATGAGGAGGAGAGAGATAAAAGGTCAGTTTATTCCCTCCAGGTAAAAGGACCTAATGCCATGGGGTCAACTCAAGCACAACCCCTACCTCAACCCACAGTTCAGCTCGCCTCACTGAACAGAATATTTCTATTGAAGTTGCAAGGCATGGGGCAGGAGGCAGTGGGCAGACCATGCAGCCTTTCAAGGGTTACTGGAGGAAGGACTATTCTGGATAAGACCTAAGGTCAGACAAGAGGAGAGGCAGGCCAGAAAAACCTTGGCCCTGCAATAAACCTTTAGCACTCCTAACCCTAGTCAGTTCTGCCTACCAGGGTTCATCAGAGAAATGGGCAATGGAAGCAAAGACATGCTTTCTACGCTTTGGGGAAACTCAGATGTTTTGGTTTGGCTTGGTTTGGTTTGGGGGGACCACACCATGCTGTGCTCAGGGATTACTCCTGGCTCTGTGCTCAGGGATCACTCCTGGTAGGACTCAGAGGACCATACGAGATGGTAAGGAACAAACCCGGTCAGCTGCATGCAAGACAAGGGTCCTGCCCACTGTACTATCACTTCACACCCTCCCCTCATCAGGGTCTTTAATAACATTGGAAAGACTCCAAGTACCGAGCCACAGGGGGTTCTTTAGTAGTTCATAAGAATAGTAAACAGTCCTAGGAAAATAGGAAGGAAGTTTTCATCTTATATGCATTAATACGCTTGGGGACTAGAACCCACAAAAAAGGTAGGGTACAAAAGTAGACCTGATAGGTCAATTCAAGGACAAGTAGAACTCATACTGATAATGCAGTGAGTATCCAAGGGAGCCAGAAGCTGGAAGGAGGCTCTCAGGGTGGCCAAGAAAGGAGATGGTGCCTGTCTTGAGTCTCCATCGTCCCCTTCTCTCAGGGCGCACAGATGGCCTTATGACATAACAGAAATTAACCAACCTGCTGGATGCCTGTCCAGACAGCAGGTGGACAATGCTGGCTGCTCCAGCCCATGCCCCTTTGGACCTGAGGGAAGATGACCAAGCATGGTCGTGCCCTGTGGGACTAAAAGTCCATGAGCTGACCACAGGGGCTGCTGGATGCCAGAATAGGCCAGAGACTGACCACAGACATGTTATCCTTCATGCTCACCATGTATATTCTTAAATTCCAGCACGCTCCAAGAGCCTGGTGATGGGGGAGCAGAGCCGGAGCCCTGGGCGGCCACCTTGTCCCCGCCGGCTGGGCCCTGTGCTGAAGGCAGGTTGGCTGAAGAAGCAAAGGAGCATCATGAAGAACTGGCAGCAGCGCTGGTTCGTGCTGCGTGGGGACCAGCTTTTCTACTATAAGGACAAAGATGAGACCAAGCCCCAGGTAAGACACACACGGTCCTGTGTTCAGTGGGCACCACAGTGTAACAGCCCCACGGAGTATCAAGTATCTCAGGAATGGGGTGGAGAACTCCCATCAGGACCTTTACTCCTCAGCATGCAAGAACCCTGGAGGGGGGCCAAGGTTGCCAGGATTTCCCCAGTGGATTCCATTCCCAGCCCTCATGTTCCTGGCAACAGTTTGTTCTGCAGAAGTTTTCAGGAATGGAAACACTTCCTATAACGTGAATGGAGAGCATCTCTCCTTGGTGCTTGTGAGGACAGAGAGCACATGCGCCTTAGGGCAGAGAGAAGCACTGTAGCACTGTCCTCCCATTGTTCATCAATTTGCTCTAGTGGGCCCAGTAACGTCCCCATTGTGAGGCTTGTTGTTACTGTGTTTGGCATATCGAATACATCATGGGGAGCTTGCCAGGCTTTGCCATGCAGGTGAGGTACTCTTGGTAGCTTGCCAGGCTCTCCGAGAGGGGCAGAGGAATCAAACCCCAGTCAGCTGCATGCAAGGCAAAGGCCCTGCCCACTGTGTTATCGCTCCAGCCCAGGGCAGTGAGTACCCAGGCAAATGTAACCTCAAGCTGGAATCTGGCTTACCAGGAAAGCTGGTATTGGGGGTCTTGGCAGCTCAGAGGCAGCATCTGTCTCCCACCAGCACTGGAAGATCCACCTTAGTGCTGAACCCATCTGTATTTTCACTCCTATGACACCACATTGTCTCAGAGCTCGCGAGAGCCTTCTTCAGGCATGGCATTGCCTGGTCATGGCTGGACAGTGCAGATGTCCATGCTGGAAGGAAGGTCTGCAGCTGCTGGCTTTCAGGGCTTCTGTGTCTCATCCCTGCTATGGGTTCGTGCAGAGGATGGTCATCTAGAAGTTACTTCATTTCTGTAGGGAAAAAAAACGGGGAAGGGGAAACAAAGGACTCATCCTCAGGAGATGCTCTGAGCCAGTGCTCCGAGTCAGAAAGGAGAGAGAGTTCCCTTATCCAGGTCAGGCTTCCATATAATAGCCTTGGAAGGCAGAGCCGGCATCCACCTCTGCAGCCCCCACATGTGGAGGCGGGCCCTGGGACAGACTGGGTACCAGGGTCTGAGCAAGGTGTGAGGAGGTCCCTGGCCCAGGGTCACACAGACCCCACAAGAAAACAAATCTCTCCTCTAGATTAGGAGCACTTGAAGCAAGCAGTGTCGATTTGGTGCTGTATAGAGTGCACCCTTCTTCCACACTTAGGATCCTCCCATAGCGAAAATGGAGACCTGGAAGTAGGAAGGAGCAGGTCTCATCTCGGGGCTTCAATGGCAACCATAACCAGTAGCCACTCAATAGCCTGCTGACTTCACTGCACAGACTAACTCTGTCTGTGCAAAGTAATGTCAAACTCCATGTGAGCGATCTCACAGTTAAACGCAGACAATGCTATAAACATACTAATGCCACAAAACTACTCGCTTATGTTATGCACTCAACAGTGGTTTAAAGGAGAAATTATATTTCAGATATATCTATATTATATATAATTTATGTATTGTTGTTGTGTTAAAGAAAAATATAACAAGAGAGACTGCTTGTGGAAAACTTTTAAAGAGCCCAGGAGAGAGCTCAGAGGGCTTAGGGCACATGCTTTGCCTGTGGGAACTTGCCTGTGGGAACTCTGGGTTCAACCGCTGACACCACATGGTTCCCCAAGTACGAGAGGGGTGAACCCCAAGCCCTGAGCCAGAAGGAGACTTCAAACACTGCCTGGTATATAGGAATGGCATAATGATAATAATAACACTCTCATGGCTTCATCATGATAATAACGATAATGACTCTCACAATGAGAAGTGGATGTGAGAACAATTGTGAAGATGGGTCTAAACTGAAATTTTGCATCTCTGGTCTTGTCCAGCCTCCCCAGTTTCATAAGCAGGAAATTAGCTCCCGGTCGTTAAGTAGAGCAAATGGGAACTTGGGAGACAGATCTGGGTCCGATCTGAATTGGGGGTAGTGTCCTGCAGTGAATGCAGCAGCCACTGTCTTTCACTGCAGGCTTTGCCGTGGGTAAAGTGCCCTCTCACTGAGATGCAGGAAAATTACATTGTTGAATATATACACAAGTGAGCACAAATCCTAGCACAAATCCTAGCACCTGGGATATGGGAGTCTGGGTGCCTTCATACACTCTCAGCCCCGCACTCCTGTCAGCTGCCTACCCCCTGCCCTGTCCCTCGGCCCACCCCATTGACCAGGCACCCCTCGCCCCCACCATCCTCCTGGCCTCTGCATTGAGTGGTGAAGACCAGCATGGGCACCTCAGCAGGGTTCTGACTTTTTTACCGACTCAGGGGTGGTGATGACTGTGACTGAGGTTGCCAGGCTTCCAGCCGCTCAGAACTCTGGCTCAGGCGCAGCTGTCCTGCCCTTCCCTGATCCAGCCTATGAGACCAGTTCTCCTGGAAGAACTGCTTCAGACAGCCGGCGACCTCGAGACCAATGAGGCACAACGAAGGTAACCCGGGCAACATGTGACCCTACCCGAGGCTTCTTACGTATCCTTCAGCATGAGCCTGGGCTCAGGCCCATTAGCTGCAATTCTGGAGAGAACCAGATTTCCTAAACCAGACACCCCCCTCCCTCATCTCCCGCCTTCTGCAAATTTCACTATCATCTCACAGAAAACGGCGTAGAGACAGATGCATTAATGTCCTAGTCACTAGCCTGCACACTGGGGGGAGTACTTAGACCCTGCCATACTAAACCAAGCCTTTCATCACCATTTAGCCCTGAAAGGAACCAGCATCTCCCCAGAGGGTCCCACGGCCTTCAACCAGGGTGCCCCTCTTGGCCTCCCTGGACCCGACTGTCAGAGCCAAGGCCTCCTTGTGGGACGTTGTTCCTTCCCAGAACTCCCCTCCCCGCAGTGCCTGCCGGCTGCGGCTGCCCCATTGCATGTGTTCCCAGTCCCTCCTGGTCCACTTCCACTCATTAGGCTGATACAGTATGATCTCAAACCTACATGCCTGCCTGCAAAATTGCCCACAATTTTCACTTAATTGCATAGACTGGATCTAATGTGGTAATTTTCAATATCTGGTTCCTGGAAAAAATGTGCCCTGTTCACTGTTAGCGGTGACAGAAGTACCCAGGCGGCGGCAAGCACCTCCTCACACAGGCGGCCAGTCATGTGTTCCGCAGATGTGACTGTCAGGAGAGGGCTGTGCAAGCCAGCCTTGAGGCAGCCCAGAGCACAGAGCCCATAATGAGGCTCGCACTGTTCCGACGTGCCCGCCCCTCACCCAGACCCATTGCCTTCCCGCGCCCCTCCCCACTGGCAGGAGGATGAGCAGAGGACCCAGCACATGGGAAGACCACCAGAAGGAGGAAGAGGAAGTGGCTTACACAGGTTAAGGTGGAAAGATCAGCCAAGGTGTTTAATGCAAAACCTAAGCGCCAGAGGAATAGTACAGGGGTCAAGACACTTACACTGGGGCTGGAGCAATAACACAGCGGGTAGGGCATTTATCTTGCACACGGTCGATTCCCAGCATCCCAGGTGGTCCCCCAGGCATTGCCAGGAGTAATTCCTGAGTGCAGAGCCAGGAGTAACCCCTGAGCATTGTCAGGTGTGACCCAAAAAGCCAAAAAAAAAAAGCCACATTGCACGTGGGTGACCCTAGTTCTATCCTGGCATCATGGGTCCCCTAAACCCCCTGGGGAGCAATCCCTGAGCACCAAGCCAGGAGAAGCCCCTGAGCACTACCAGGTGTGATCCCAAAACTACCCCCTCAAACATATCATTTCAACATTTCCCAGAACACGTTCCTGAGAGTATCCAGCAGACAGACCCTACAGTTTCACCAATAGATGATTCAAGATTTTTTTTCATCTGTTTCGGTCTTTGCTAATAATGTTCCTGGGTGATGAAAACTCCTGCCACATTCTTTATAGATCGACTGATCCCTCCCTTGATGAGAACTCACTTGAAGCCTAAGTCACTCCAGTTCATTACTTGTGGGTTTCTTAAATAAAAACTATATTAGAAGAGGATGGAAATAATATCTTCCAAAACATAATATGGGGGTTGGGGGGGAGTAACAAGTTAAACAATTCAGTGAATGGTTGGAAAAAAGGGAAAAAAAAGTAGAAAAGTATAGTAGAAAACAAAATAATAAATAGCTTAGAAGGCAAGAAATAGGTGCCAACAATTCTGTTGTCATAATAAATGTGAGTAGGTTTGATGTATCTGTCTCTTAAAAGACAGAGAAGTGGGAATAAAGCAGCAGGCAGAAATGTTGAAAGCAAAATAATGGGGAATATACAAGACAGCAAATGCAGATTTAGCCACATCAAAATAAAATAGGATTCAAATGAAATACAATTCAAGGTTATAAGAACAGAAGGGAACAAAGAGCTGTTTCATGATAGTATAAATAACAACCTAGCAAGAAATTAGAACAGCTGTGTGCTTTTACGTTCTTAATGGCATAGCTTTGAAGGATATATAAACAAGAAGAACAATACTCATTGTTCTACATTTTTTTAGAAAAACGCAGAAACACAGAGACACATTAAATAATAATACCGTCAAGGAAAAATAGACATTAAGAACCCAAGTGCCCAACAAAAGATGTGTGGATAATGAAATTGTGTACACACACACACACACACATACACACACAATGGAATACTACTCAGTAATAAGAAAGGATAAACTAATTTGTTTGCTTGTTTATTTTTGGACCACACCTGGCAGAGCTCAGGGGTTACTCCTGGCTCTGCACTGAGAAATTACTCCTCATGCTTCTTGGGATCATGTGGAAAGCTGGAATCAAACCTGGGTCAGCTGCATACAAGGAAAGTTCCCTACCCACTATACTATTGCTCTGACCCCTTAGAAACAACGAAATCTTGCAGTTTGTGGCAACTTGTGTGGATTTGGAAGGTGTTATGCTAAGCAAAGTGAGTCAGAAAGAAAAAGACAAATACCAAATTATCTTACTCATA